TGTTTAAGTAAAGGCATTTGCTGATGGTGCCACAGACAGGTTAGGTGACGTGAATATCTGCATCAAATTTCATGGTAATCTGTCACCACTGTGATGAAGAGATTGACTGACTCAATATTACCATTACTAGAGACATGTTAGGATGGCTACAAACTGCATTATAAACACTTTATTTAAATTATATTTTAAATTTAAACAACTTGAAGCTACGGTGGCCCTGAGAGGCCAAACGGACTGCAACTTAAGAAAACACCAGCAATAAGAAAAACGCTGCAAAAGCACACAAAACATAGAGGAAATGGGAAAAACGACAACGGAAATAGGAAAAAAGAAAAGAGAAATAGGAAAAACGAAAACAGAAATAGGAAAAAAACAGAATTCCCAAAGCACAAGGGAAGTGTTTCTGGGGAGACAATAACCCGACGGACCAGTTGCAGGAACCAAAATATACTAATAATTGCGCTGGAAGACAAAGAAGTGGAGGATCTATCGGTTTTGTGAGGAAAGAAAAGACAAGAGGTAAGTGTGTTAGCCTAACTATTAGCCTAAAAATCTATCATCAGTATTACGTATATGAATCATGATAAAACACGCCTACCATGTTTTGGGTTCCTGCAACTGGTCCGTTGGGTTATTGTCTCCCCCAGAAACACTTCCCTTGTGTTTTTTCCTATTTCTATTTTCATTTTTCCTGTTTCTGTTTTGTTTTTTCCTATTTTCGTTGTGTTTTGTGTGCTTTTGCAGCGTTTTTCTTATTGATGGTGTTTTCTTAAGTTGCAGTCTGTTTGGCCTCCCGGGGCCACCGTATAAAGCTCAAGTAAATGAAATATAAACTCAACACACATCATAATTATTTTGTAAGAAGTAACAAAGCACTTACTGCTGGGGGGCAGCTGGAGGCCTTAAATCTGCCATCAGTGTTTACGGGTGTCATGTTAAATATGTGAAGTAGAATTTCTTTTTTTATACATGAGGATAGCAGCAAGATTGAAGGGGAATGTTTAAAAGACAGGTTTGAAAATGCTGCTGACACTGACAAAAAGGAGGCTGAGCTGGAGGTACCAGGGTTGAAGATATTGAGACTTTCATTGGGAGTGACCAGAATGGACAGGATTCAATATGCGTACATCAGAGTAACAGCTCAGGTTGAGCGCTTTGGAAACAGAGTTGGAAGACAACAGAAAAGATTTTTGGATGTAGTGAAGGAGGACATGCAGAGGGGTTGGTGTGACCTAAAAGGATGCTAGGGATGGGGGTCACATGGAGACAGATGATGATGGTGACCCCTAAAGGAAGCAGCCGAAAGAAGATCACACACCAAGTAGAATTTTGTTACTGCGTGAAAAACCCAACAGTTTGCTTGGATGACGCTGCACACTGATCAGTGGTTTGATGCTCAAACAGCTGTTTTCATTTCTTGTTCTGCAGACAAAAGGCGGAGTAAGAACCTCAGCAGCGGAAATATGACTGTGGATGCTGATGCAATTGAACCATGTGACCACCACCTGGACTGTCTTCCAGGTCAGTATAAACAAGAGTCATATTTATCTTTCAGGACCTTACTAGTTTCTTATCGCTCTTGGCAGTCATCTTAAAATCCATTTATTGACTGTTTATAAAGTGATAAAACACCACACAGACCACGTATTCACCAGCATTGAAAACAGTGTTTTACACTGTTAGGACTGTGGTGTTGGTGTTGTATATTAAATGTCTATGCACACATATAAAACATGCTTGATTGATAAAAGACGTGTTTTTCTTGAACAAGGTTCCTGTTGTGACCTGAGGCAACATGAGTGTAAACCTCACAACAGAGGTCTCAACAACAAATGCTACGACGACTGCATGTGTGAGGAAGGTGAGAGATTATTACTTTAGTTTTTTACTCACTACTAGCATCATTAGGCGCTTTAGCATCAGCATCAGCTCATCTCTTCATGTGCAGTTGTACATTTGGGTCACTTCCCCCAAGTCTTACTGTTTACAATTAAGATTTTAAAAGTCTTTGACTTGTAATGGGTCCCCAGAGGGACTAAAAGATTAGAGGCTGACTAACATAGCAGTAAACAGTAAATTTCAAAGTGTCAGTAAATTGAGATTTTTTGTGTTTCATAACATTGTTTTGAGCTTAAAGTTGTTCATTTCATAGATTATGTGATGATGATGCAGAATTCTAACAAATATTAAATGTAAGTAATTTAATTTATACCTTCTCAGCTACATTAGTGTTGCTGATTCAGCTCTTTATTCTATCCTAAAATAGAGCATTTCTACTAATGTTAAAGTACTGCCTCTGGTCATTTAAAACTCATATTTTATCCAATTCAATCACCTTTTCAGATAATGGGTCACTTGTTATCTTTCAGGGTTTCGTTGTTATGCTAAATTTCACCGGAAGCGACGCGTGACCAGGAGAAGGGGTCGCTGCGTGGTGCCGGAGTCAGTCAGCAGTGACCAAGGGGGTTTCATTACCATATAAAGAGGAGGTGATGAAGGCCAAGCTGGAGGAAGAACATAAATAATGACCCCCCCTGACCAAGAAGCCACATGACCCTGCTAAACTGACCAAGTACTTAGAGGTGATGACTTGCTGGTTTTTCAAATCAAACCCACAATATATAAATCACCCTGCTGCCAACACCTAGTCAGCTAAAGCGAAGTAACAGGTGGCCAAAGTGGAAATAACATTTCAATGTTGCATTGTGGGATACGTTATGCAGCCTAATCCAGCAAATCACCAACTTTAAGCACGCTTGTTTTAATTTAGTGTTGTTCATTCCCTGCAGGAAGACGGCCTCTCCAAATTCTTGTCATTAAGAAAGCCTGCAGGGTTTTTTTTGTCTTTTTATTTGCCTGGTTGAAAAGATTCACTCATTGGGTGACACATCAGTGACTAAAGTTTGTAGCTATCACACAGATTAGGTTTGAATATTTACTGCCTTCATGGTTCCTGTTGATGTGGTTTCATTTTTAGGCAAGAACAGATTTTGTAAGTTTTCATCACGCTGACCTGTTCAAAATAATTTTTAGTATTGCTTTAAGATCTTTGGAGTCCCAGAACAGTGGCGTTTTCCGCTTCAAGACTTTTAGACCAAGTTAAATAATTTTATCTTGGACTATTTGCCATGACTATGTAGAGAAGCGTGTCAGATTTCGTTCCCTGTCCTCTTCTCTGAGCTGGTAAAACAACTGCTAAAAGTTATTTTTTAAAATATTATCTAAACTGGTCTGCTGTCCTGTCCTGTATATATGATTGTGTTTGAATTACCAACACCTTTTTTTATTGACACCACTGTTAAAAATGTGCTTAATGATAGTAAGATAAACAAAATGCTTGTCTGACCTTCCACTTTACATGTCTGTTTTATTTATTCAGTACTCAAACACGTGTTTATATATTCAGTTCTTCTGCCTGTTTTTATTTTTACAATTAAAACACTTACTAGGATGCACACTGTGTGATGCTAAGCTGTTTCTACACGTCTACACACTGTTTGGCAAAACCATTTTTACTAATCCTAAAAAGCAAACTCTCTATCCTTTAGACCAGGGGTGTCAAACTCAAATACACAGTGGGCCAAAATTCAAAACTGGAACAAAGTCGCGGGCTAACGCTAATATTTATTGAAAAAAAAAAATCTCTAGATATAAGAATGAATCTTTTCTTATGGACTCAAACAAGTTTTGCTGAAAAACTGAATATGGAACAAGCAAAACTTAATACTAAACAATATATATATTAACTGTATAATACCAGTAGGCCAGCTCTAATAGTAATTTGGTATGGCTTCGCGGGCCAAATGTAATTAGGCTGCGGGCCAAACTTGGCCCGCGGGCCAGAGTTTGACACCTATGCTTTAGACGGTCGTTTTATCGACACTATTGTGTGATGAGACACAAGGAGAACATTTCTAAATGCAATTCTTATATCACATAAAACAATTATTTTAAAAAAGTGCTTTACTTTTTTTAATATATTTTTGGACAAGAAAAGATTTGATCTTCTTTTAAACTAGTACTCAAACAAATATGATTTAAAACTGACATTTTTTGTTCATTTTCATAATTTCAGTAAATAAATGACAGATAAATAAGTAAAAGCACGTCTACATTTCCTAAACCTTCAAATAGATAAAATGATAAGAGCCTTCTTAAGGGTTCAAGTTTTTCTCTTTGCTAATCAGGTGTACGGTGTCACAAATCTAAAGCGCTCTCCGAGGCCTTCACAAGTAAAAGGTTTCGATTCTTGTGAGTCTGCCATGAGATTTAAAAAGATTTCCAGATAGAAACAAATCATTATTCTATAAATGGTGCAGATTTTAAATAACTGTTAATTTTTCCTGCCTGCCACAGGAAATGTATCTCATTTTGAAGAAGTGAGAAAGAAATCAAAGCCTCCAAGTACCTGAAAATGTAATCACGGGATCTGCAGATAACTCTCGCAACCATCTGTATCAAAGAGTATCAGTCTACAATCTGAGAGACACGCATTTGCAGTCTAAAAATAGAATTGGAACAAAACTGTAATTGGCCAGTGTCCATTTATACAGAAAGACAAGACCTATTGGAATAATGTGTTCAAAGATAACTGATCAGGAGCAGAAGCTTCTTCTAACTTAGGCACGGTGCTGGAAATGTTATGGCTTGGGGTTGCTTTGCCGCCTCAGACATGAGGCAACTTGCAGTCACTGATTCAACAAATAATTCTTTATCTTACCAAAGATTATTTAATTGAACATAAGAGGTTATCTTTAGGAAAGCTGGACTTCACCTGGACAGGATTAATAATTTAAACACACTAGCAGAAAACAAAAAGAAAGTTCATGAAGTCCATAAAGAAGGATTATTAAAAATTAAGAATAATGACTGCAAAAATATACGTCTGCTAAAGAGAGCTATACTGACTCCTGAGATTAACACATACTAACTTTGACAAAAAATGTCCCATTTTAAATAATTTCTAAAAGCAATTATTGAAAAACATGTTCACAGGTAAAGATAATGAAAACTACTGCATGTGATTACTCTACCGCCGGGAATCTATGGATTTTTGGCACTTAAAACATGGTATTTATGTGATAATAACATCATATTTTCCTTTTTTTATTAAATTAGAACAGAACAAAATCATTTACTTTGCTTATGCTTTAGGAAAATCTGTGCTTTAGGTTTATCTTGACACCTACTGGGTTTGTGCAAATCAGTCAAATTAACACCTACTTTTATAATAAGTAGAGCATGCAGCAGCCAAAGCCATTTACAATTGTAAAAATAATTATAAAACATGTCAGTTTCACTGCCACTGCTAAGCTAGCAGGGTTGGTGGTGAAGGTTTATCCTTGCATTGTTAAATTCTGTGTTTTTTCTAAAGATTTCTTTTGGATGTGAAATCCATAGGTAGGGGGAATAGCACGAGCCATTGTTATCTTTGCATGTGTGCAAAATTAACACGATAATGGTCAACGTAACACACACAGGCTGTGATGCAAATATTCAAAGTTGGTTGGGTTGTTTGTTTTTGGCTCAGGGTCACAGGGAATCACTGGAAATGGGTAAAAGAGCCACATGAGGCTGCGACGCTGCAGTTTCAAGAGGAATAAGCCAAACACTGTACCAACCATGAAATAATAATTCGAGTCAGTTTTGAATTTAGAAACTGAAACGATGTGTCCTTATATTCTATTATAAATAGGCTTTTGGAACAAAGGATGGTGGGGAGTACTGGAGGGTGGTTCATCATTCTGTGGAAGAGACAACTCATTTAATAGTTTAAGGATAACATTTCTCAGTGTAGAAACACAAAAAGAATGTGAAATCTTCATCATCTTCAGTGCTCAGTATCATTAAACTGGGATAAATCTTTGTATGCAAGGGACAAGGCTGAAAACCAATGGCTGTGATGTTGAGTTTTGCCCTGAAGCAGCTGAAATCCAGTATCCAGAAAGCTTTAGAAACCACAGCAAGTAATGCCCACAGTTCTGAAACACTTAAGAGTGTGCTGTTAAATGGAGAGGTGATGCAACGCGCAGTAGGAATCACGCTTAAGTGTTTCTGGCATCAAAGTCAAATTAAGCATATGTTTGGCTTTGGTTTTGTTTGTTTTTTGTTTTTTAAATCCCCCCTTCTTCTATTTATATTTTAAACTTTCTTGGAAACAGGGTTGCACAGAATATGTAATTAATCCCCTTCCACCACTGGGCCAGAAGGTAGTTAGCTAGTCCCTTTCTTTCATTATTTTATATCACAGTTTTAAGGAAAAAAGATAAAATCGTTATGAAGATGAAGCCTAAATGGCTCACTTTGATCGATACACTTTGTAATGTAAGCCTGTTTCAAAGAGAGCATTTTCCTTAATATGGAGATTTTTGAGGCACCAAAGAAGCACCGTCTATCTTCATGTAATAAGATAATTTGCCATCTACACTTAAGTCTCAGAATGCTTTAACACAAAGCTTACGACACATTAGAGCAAGTGCAAGAAATTACATTCAGCGTAGTTCAGATCACACAAAGCCTCTGCAAATCTAGCCACATCAATATTTCATTAGATGAAGAAAGTAACACAGATTTTTCTTTCCTAAGCACCATCTCAGTTGAACTGCGATGGTGCTATCCTGATTTACAGACACAAAATAAAAGCAACAGTCATGTATTCTTTATATTTACCTATGTCAGAGTGCTCTGGTAGAGTGCCCTGTTGAAACCTGGCCAACAGCCAGAGAAAAGATAGATTACACACAGCCACATCCCCGTAGAGCTGCAGCTACAACAAATGCATGTTTACCTTTCTTGAATTAATTAACCCCCATGGTGTCTATTTCAAGGGAACTTTTCAAAATCAGGTTACTTCTTAAAGCACATAGATGAGCAAGAAATGAAAAGACGTCACATGGGAGCTAGTCCGAAATCTGCCACCACGTGTCAAAACATCAAAGAAATGATATGTGCTCAGTTCAAATATTAGTTTTTTGTGTGAGTGCTTTATAAAGTTGTGACGTTACACTACAAAATGCAACATTCGTGTGTTTGTCCCACTGCAGTCTCATTTTCACACACATGTATACACGAGCACATTCAGAACAGCAAGGCTGCTAAATTTAATTATGGTGGATTTTAAAAAATTTATCTTTCAGTCAAAGAGAAAAATTAATTTGTGTGCTGCCACTGGGGTCAGAGGTCACGTGTGGGGTCAGAGGTCACATGTGGGGTCAGGGTTAATGCTGGATAGTGCAGAGGCCATATGCCAACACTGGGCCGTGAATCTGTCTTCAGTGAAAAGGGCACAGAAGTGCCAAAGACTGAGTCAGACTGCAGAACAGAAATCACAGAGAGTGAATCTCATATTAACATTTTAAAAGTTCGGCAGCTGCTCTCATCCACAGTGACTTACAGCGAGCTGAAAGGTTAAATGTGCTAAAGTCCAGGGACATAATGTCACACAGGCATCGGTGAGGAAGGCAAATGGCAGTCACATAAGGAACGAGTGATACATACTTCATGATTCTGGTCATTTAGAATATTAAGAACCAAAGGGCAAGCAGCACTCACCCTTTGAAATAATATAATAATCAGACAAGCACAGTTTTGAATGATTTCTACAGCTTTCAGCTGCACCTCCCTCCACTCATTCTCTTCCGTCATGGCGGGTGGAGCCTATCACAGCTGGCAGAGGCCAAGAGGCAGGGTAAACCCAGGTTGCCAGCCTGTCACAGCATCTGCACCTCCTGGCTTTCATCCACTTGAGCTGTGTGATGACAGACGAGACTGCTTATATATATTTTATATGCAGTAAGTGTTTCTGTGGTGATATATGATTATGGCTATTGCATATGTTTTTGTTAAAAACTATACTTATGGACTGAAAGACAAGAAAAGATCTTTCCACACCAGCTGTGTAAGGTTTAGAGGAATGCACCTGCAAGATCTTTTGACCAGACTGTGACTTAATTGGACTTCACTAAATGTCTGAACTAAATAAAGTTATAGCCTACTTTGAAATCTGACTTAGCAATAAGAAAATGCTTGTGAATTGAGTCCACATGTTGTTTTCATTAAGACTCAATCATCATCAGGAAAATGTTTACTGAGAACTCAGTGAAGGTGGCTATAGGTTGTTGGGGTTTTTTTTTTTTTTTTTTTTTTTTTTTTTTTGGGGGGGGGGGGGGCATGTATTGTACCAGTATCTATTTAAACAACAGACATCACCATCTGCTGCAAGTGGTTCAAATGCTCAAAGTACTCCTTCAGTCCCAACTTCCTTTTAAAGTCATTTTCACACTACTGTCTGTTAGTGCTCCGTTGATGTTATCAAACACAAAACATCTATGACAGTCTAATGGTCTTGTGGATACAGGATGATTAAATAATGCATGACAAGGTTTGCAAGAGTGTATGCTTGATATGTTGGTGTGCTGCCTGACAGTGTCTCATTAGAAGTAGCAAACAA